GGCGCCGTTCGTAGCGGCGGAGAGGAGCCCTCGTAGTGGCTGAGACGCTCGCGGTTCGTAGAGGGGCGATTAGAGTTTAGCTGCGGAGGGAGACTCGCGTCCGTCCCAGCAAGATGCGTTCCGGTCGTAGCTGCGGCGGAGATGGCTGTTTAGGGTTTAGCTGCGGAGGGAGACTCAGAAACGTGCAAATGGTGGAGCAGCTCGCGCGCGCAGGGAAGAAACATTTTTTCACTTACTGACCTAGGCAAAACGACGTCGTTTTTGGGCCATTTAGGGGTCAAAAAAAAAAAGCCACCAGACTCGTGGACTCGGGCTAGACTCGCGATTCTGACCGAGTCTACCCGAGTCTACCCAAAAACGATTCTACAAGCGAGTTAACCCGTTTTCCTCCCCTAGACTCGTAAACTCGTCCGATTCTACGAGTTGACTCGCGAGTTTGACAACCATGGGTTTGAGGTCTAACAATATATGCATCTTCTTTTGAAATTAGAAGTAATAGTCTAACAAAATCATATATTTATTGGTTGGTTTACCAAATTACTATCCCTTGTTTTTATTATGAAGAGCACTGGAGTATATAAAAATATTTATGCTATCTGCTGTTTTACAAGGTTGAAGATGCAAGTGATATTGAAGCTATAAAGAATTCTGTTAGCAGCAGCTCAACAAACCAACAGAAGGCCACCCAACGCGATACTAAAAGCGAGGTCAAAGCTCTGAAAAACAATATAGCACGAATCAGTCCAGCGGCAAAGTTGCTAATTACAGAGTATGGATTGGATACATCGACATTGAATGCAACTGGTCCTCATGGCACCCTACTAAAAGGGGATGTTCTTTCTGCAATTAAGTCAGGAAAATTGTCTCCAAAACCTGCTTCATCTAAAGAAAAGGTGTCATCATCTCAAAGTCGTCAACCAATTGCAGCTTCCCAAGAGTCAAAGTCTGACTTAAAGCAGTCAGACGCTTATGAAGATTTTCCTAATAGTCAAATTCGCAAGGTAGGTCCATCAAATATTTCATGTTTATGAATAAGGTTATTTTATTCTTTCAGGATGCATGTTGCACGGTAATTAGAGTTATCTTGCCAAATAAAGATATATGAACAGTATACAAAAAGGACTCTGAGCAGCCATTGTTTGGTATTTCTGGCCGGGAGTTGATTACTCAAATATATGAAGGGAAATGTTTGTCATTAGACCTAATATGGGTCAGAAGACTCAGCTGTTTTTGTGGTCTCTATTGAGTGTGTTTGGCACATTTTCCTCCCAACAAAATGTCCTTGGCTGTTGGTATACATGCAGAGATGCTGATCTCATTTTAACGTTTTTGATTGTTTCTGGATGTCCAATCTTTTTTATTTACATCTCTCAACTTATGAATACTTGGGAAAATTTCAACTCTGATTCTTGTCCCCTTAATTTATGATGACTTGTCTCTAAATATTTTTGACTGTTTTATAGGTGATCGCCAAGAGGTTATTGGAATCAAAACAAAATACACCACACTTGTATTTATCATCAGGTTTTTGATTCCCCATACCTTGCATATTATTGCAAAATGCAAACTAATTTATGTTTGAAGAGACTATTTAATATATATTTTCATTGTGATGTTTCAGATGTCATACTAGATCCTCTTCTTTCCCTTCGAAAGGATCTTAAAGGTATGAACCAGTAATAAATTTTTCTTGGCATATATGTCTTATGTTATCCTCACCTAGTGAGATAAGGCTTTTGTTGTTGTTATTATTGTTGTTATTGATGTGTCAAATGTTGATACACTTGGTCATGTTATTTTTGCACTCTGATATATTTTTCATTTGTTCCTTGATTGCAGAGCAGTATGATGTTAAAGTTTCTGTGAATGACATTATTATCAAAGTTGTAGCTGCTGCTCTCAGAAATGTACCTGAAGCAAACGGTAAATAATTTCATTGTATTATTCTATCCATTCTCGTTGCCTGTAATTGTCTGGGGTAGTAGCCTAGTAGGGATTCAAATCACGAAATATTTATTTAATATAGCTGTGGATTTCCTTTCCTCCTTATTGTTCATCAATTAAGTAAATATAGTATTTTGTTTTGGTAGTATAGAAAGCAATGGAATCTTGTTACCAATAATTCTGTGATATGTTATATTCTTGGTTTGTGCTTTTTCCCCCATTTGCATACCCACTCTTAAACTGAATTGTTTTCATGAGAGTTTCTAGTGCTGAAATCTAATTTTCATTATGGCAGCATACTGGAATGTTGAGAAGGGTGAGGTCATTTTATGTGATTCTGTTGACATATGTGTAGCAGTTGCCACTGAGAAGGTAACTGATGGTGTTTTTAACTGCCATTATGATAGTATCATTGTATAAGGCACTCAAACCTTTGGTTTGATTACAGGGCTTGATGACTCCAATAATAAAAAATGCCGATCAGAAGACAATATCTGCTATCTCCTCAGAGGTAATTTTATCTTATTTATGTAGGTTTCGAGTTCTGGTTAATGACTTTTTGATAGAAACTGGAATATACTGAATGCTATTTACTGGGTACTTGGGGAGCAAGGCTCCTTATGGCTGAGGAAGATTCCTCTAACAACAGAGTTCTAGTAAATTTAAATATTGGAAAGAAAGGAAAGTAGGGTTCTTCTTTGCTTCTTGAACAACTTTGATAGTTTGTTGGCACTTTAGGTTAAGGAACTAGCTGCAAAGGCGCGTGCTGGCAAGTTGATGCCGCATGAATTCCAAGGGGGGACTTTTAGGTGAGTTTTCTACTTATATTGTCACGCAACCTTGGAAACTATAATGTTTCTTAAGAAATATTTACTATGTCAAAAGTAAATAATTCTGAACTTTGCACAATGCCTTATTGCAGCATTTCAAACTTGGGAATGTTTCCTGTGGATAAATTTTGTGCTATTATAAACCCCCCTCAGGTTCTCTCTCTCTCTCTCTCTCTCTCTCTCTCTAACACACACAACACCTGCACTTAAAGCATCTAATTACTAGCCTCATGTAAGAGCAAAATTGCTTGACAAATCTATTTAATTTTTAGTTAGTATAGGGGTGGATGTGGCCAAGTGGGTAGTGAATCTACCATGTACCGGCCCAATACCAGTTACTCACCCATAAATAGAATAATAAAGATATATAACTTTTCTTAAAATTAGTATAGGGGTGGATGTGGCCAAGTAGGTTGTGAATCTACCATGTACTGGCCCAATACCAGTTACTCACCCATAAATAGAATAATAAAGATATATAACTTTTCTTAAAATTAGTAATTTTATTTTATTTTTTTGCTTGTGAGCACAGTTAATTGCTACTGTTCCTCAACGTAGTCCTAATATTTTATTACCTTGTATAGATGAAAAACCCACTCATACTTTTTCTATTCTGCTATTTACTATATCAATGAAGAAGCAAACTATCATGGTGAACCAAGCATGAGTTTACCTAATTTGATTTTCTTTAGAAGAAAGAAAAATGAAAGAGAACTGGAGATTTCAGGTTTATAGATGTTCTTAATAATCCCTTTAGTCGTAGATCCTTCATGGAAATTTTCCCATTCTTTGAATTCCCTCCCCTATTTTATTTGTTTGGTTAAGACAAAGCAAAATCTATTTTATGTACTGTAATTTATAGTTTCATACTACGGCAATAAAGAATCATACCATCATAGTGAACCAAGGACAGCTCATTTCTAACATGATTAATTATAGAAGATGGTAAAACCCTGGAAACAGGTTCATTGGAATTCAAGTTTGCCATTCTTGGTTTCAAAACATATATTTGATGAAAACATGCTATTTTGAAAGAGTTTTCAGCGTGCCTGATTTAATTTACCAGCCTCACTTCCCAAGTTGTCAGCCTTGTGGGTGGAATTGTAAAATTTTTGAAGTTTTTGTTGCTTCTTGTTACCGAGGCTGTAAGGGATTTTATTATTTTGTTTATCATTTGCTGCAGGCTTGCATTCTTGCTGTAGGGAGAGGCAACAAAGTTGTGGAACCAGTTATTGGAGCTGATGGTATAAATTTATGGATGTTCTGTATGTGCCCCCTAAATGCTAAAATTTTAAGTTGTTTTAACATTGATGTTTATTTGATAGGAATTGAGAAACCATCAATTGCCAATAAGTTGAACTTAACATTGTCTGCTGATCATCGTGTATTTGATGGCAAAGTTGGAGGTATGTGTTACTGGAACACTTTAGTCGGCCAATTGAAAGTAGGAAGAACCGAAGAAGTTTGATTACTGTTACTTTCATACCTTCTAGTTTGCGAAGTTGCTACGTTGATTAGGATCAAAGCAGCTAAAATATCACAAAATCAAATTGCCGTATATTTAGTACAATGAACAGAGTTCTGAAAATTGTTTCTTGGATTGATAATGAGAAAATGACCCACTAAGAAGGTTCCATTTAATTCATATTATTTTTTTAACCAAATAACATAATTTAACTCAAAATAAACATATTAACTACTAGTAAAAAAGTTTCTATTTCAGTTCATATCTTGACTAGCCCAGTATCAAATTATTTAACCTTAAATCTACAGATAGTAACCAATAATATAGTTACATTCCTACGATACGTGGTTAATTGTAGGTAAATTATTGGTTAAATTTGTTTTATATTTGATATTTTATTTGTTAATATACACAAACTGAAATGGAATAATTCACCTAGCCATATAAAATGTCATTTTGCCATTAATAATTGACTATAAAAGAGATCTTGGGTGCGAAACATATTGAATAGCACCTATGAACAAATGTTGCAGCAATCAACCAAGGTACACTGTTTTAAATGGTGGCTTAAGTGATTAAACTTTATTTTGCAGGTGCATTTCTCTCTGCTTTGCAATCAAACTTCAGTGATATAAGACGGCTTCTTTTATTATGATGTACAACAATTTTTCCTGTCATTTGATTGGGCTTCTCACGACCAATCATGTGGATCCCCCACAACCTGGATCAAACTTGCATAGCATACCCATTTTTGTCCTTTAGATTTTTATCTCTTAATCTGAAACAGTTTCCGATTGTTGTGCCTCATCAGTTTTGTATAATAATATCTTGGGTCTAATTACTAATTATCCTGAGAAAATACCCAACAAGGTACCATCCTTCTAAAATTAGGTTTCCAACAATTGAGATTCAAGCATGTTGGAAATTTTGTTCATTAGGCACTTTGCTGCCCTTTGTTGTTTAATTTTGTATGAAGAGCTTTGTATAGACAGCCATTAAAATACCGACATCTGGATGAATAAAAATTATTTTCACGTGCTGCATGTCTGTCATCCGACTTAAGTGATGGCATGATTTGTCACAATGGTACTCTTGGTTCAATGTTCATCTATCAGCCTATTCTGGCTCTTCCTCCCTAGCATTTCATCTTTAATTTTTGTATCAGGATTTGGCCTAGCGGTTGTATTGATTATGGGGAATTTGGCTAAATCTCCCATCTAAGTCAATAATGGACCGAGTACACGTTGATGAATATGGTTATTCAATTTATTGCAACACCTTCCGTTTAATCATTGAATAGCCACCTGCAAAGATGAAGTCTTTGGTATTTGATTCATTTAACTTGATTAGTAGCTGCACGAACTTGGCTATTAGCAGATTATAGCAATAGATTTGACGTTAGCATGCCTATTGTCTTGGGAAAAAAATCTTTGAAATAGAAAAGGATTTCCACGAAGTGATTAATGATCATCCTTTTTTTTTAGTCTGAAGTTCATTAACTTAATAGGAGTAATAGTAGTAGTATTGCACCATGTACGTCACGCAGTATGATTATAAATATGCACATCGTTTATTCTTTTGACAGCATAAGTATGCATATCGTTACCTGTTAACAAAAATGGAATTAGAGAAAAACATTTTTTCCAGGCATCAGAGGAAAAAGTAAAATAAAGAATAAACTACTTCGTTGTAACATTTTCCAATTTTGGTACCATCATATCTCAACTGTGTTTGCCTATAAAAACAATCAAACTACAAAGTTTATTTCCCACTCTAAATCACTCGACAATTAGTAGAACTAGACTACATGACTCAATTCAACAAAATGAGTGGGGCAAACTCTATAATATGCATCTCGTGTGTTCATTGCTGTTACTTTAATGAAACACAAAACGCTAGAATGAAAAGGTTCGGAAAAAGTTTTATTATGGATCCCTCAAAAGTTCTAATCAATCTTCGAGCTCAATAATCTTCACAACTGACGAGTCACCCACTTTCTGGCAAACAACAACTCGGTCATGTGGCTTTACGATGCCAAAAGCCTTGCCATGGTCTAAAGCAACCTTCAAAATTGATTCATTTGTTCCACTTTTAGACCCCGCCTGCACTCAAGCCACAAAATCACCAACTTTAATAACAGTGCAAGGTCACACAAATACCTAACAATTCAAGGATTGACTTTAATAAAGAGTTAAAGACATTTAATTGAGGGTAATTAAAACTAAAAGGAGTTAGTGGGAGTGTAAATGAATAACTGGATGTGCCAATGGTCCTATCATGCAAAAAAAAAAAAACAGAAGAAGAAGAAGAAGAAAGGATATAATATGATATTTAGAATGAAATTGAATTTATGATATGTTTCAATCCAGGAATGAGGGATTTTAATTTTAGTTGGTGTTTATAATGTAAATGTTTTGGGCCTTGAAATATCTTATTTCTGGTTGGATTAGCATTCTACGTCCTACTCTAAATTTGGATTTCTTGAGTTATGCTAGTAGAAATGCGTTTATTTGATTTGCCTAATCATACAAGGTACCTACGTTATCTGTTCACAGATTACTTTTTTTATTTTTTTATTTTTTTTATATACATATATTAAATTTGTTTAACAAGAATAGAAATTTGAGTGTTTTTGTATTGTTCCTTGGTTACATCATTTTATTATATCAAACGACGTTGAACAATTCTTACCGGGTGTCGTGGATCTGCCAGCATAGGGAAAAGACCTCTCACAATAAGTGATTGCCTTGCCTGCCGTAAAAGGAAACATTAAGTTTCAATGTCATTTTCAGTGTAGTTGAAAGAAGAAAACATTTTTTTACTATATTTCTCTTTCATTTCTATCCTTTTTTTTCTTCTTTATATTTCATTGCTAATCCAAACAAAGCCTAAAAGGTAAATACAAGCAACAAAAGAAATATACATATAGGCATAGAACAGCAGCATAATTTTCAAACCATTTTTACTATCAAACCAAGTATTGGCACAAGAGATGTTTTTCTTCACTTGGTTGTAAAAGCTAGCAAGCAAATTTTCCCATAAGAAAAATTCAAATTGACCATTTGTTTTTTGAACAATGAAACCAAAATATGTTAAAATATATTGACAGAAAACTAACTAATGATCTTGTGGGGACTAATGAAGTTCTTAATGGTGAAAGAAGCTAATACAATAGCAAATATTTTTTTGAATAATTTGAATTGGTCAAGTTAAAGACCAGCTAACTCAATATGTATGGGTTTAATGATAAAGCTGACTCAAAGGGTTGAATAGTATCAAGATTCATTCCTAGCATCTATGTCAATTATATACCTCAAAAGCACCGGTGAATGTCCATCGGAGTTGATTTGTCTTTAACTGAGGAACAACAACAGATATCACAGGCATGGTTGGTCTGTACTTAGCAATCAATCTACATAGATACACAAATTGTGTTACAATAAACAAATAATTAATAATATTTCAGCTTGACATTAAATTGCAACAGAACAGAATATAACTGAGTATTGAGTGCCAGTAACTTAGATTCAACGTGAAACAAAATTACTGATATAAAGAATTTAATAAATGTAAAATTTGGCATCAATAATCCCAAAAATAAGGAGATAAAATGAAACCTTGCAGCTCTTCCAGATGAAGTGAAGCAAATAATAACAGAGGCCTTAACCTTGATAGCTGCTCGAACCTATATGTTTCAGCAAAAAGAAATTTACTTCACAATGTGTACTACTATAAATAAGTACATAATATTTTGAACAAGCTAATAGAAGAATGTTGGTGGAAAAAGAATCATAAAAACAATCCAAAAAGCTTTAGCAGTGTAACCAAGAACCGTACCGCAGAGGAAGCAATTGATTCCAAGTGGCTCATTGGCTCTCCCACATATTTGACAGCCTTCTTAAAATACAAATCTTGATTATGAACTTTCTCTGCCTGCACACAGCAGCTATTAGTGGGGAAATAATCTTGACTCTTCAGGGCAAATAGTAATCATTGTATAATGAATGAATTTAAATTAACCATAACGTAATTTCAAACTAAACTGTTTTATAGATAATCATCAGAAACACAAGGCAAAAAAGCAAGAGAGGAAAATGAAGATTGTTTCAACTTGTTTGCTCAGATTTTGATATACATGAATAGCCAAGACAAATCATTTCTGTAGACAATATGGTAGTGAGAAAACTTCTATAGCTAAAGTACATCTGAACAAATTAGTAAAAAAAATTAAATCAATTTTTTTTGGATACCAGCAATTACCATTCTAACAAGAAGTACAAAACAAGTTGGCAAGAAGGAAACCGAGAAAATGAATGTACACATGTGAAACCCCCTTCAAACATTGTAAGAAGCAATGATCGCAGAGCAAACTCTATAAAACCCATTTAGGCAGCATATTGAAAAACAATGAAGATTAATCTGCGTAAGTGGTTTTGTGAGGCATACATGGCATAGCCATAAATGATCAAAATATACACAAGGAAATTAACCCACAATCATAAGAGTGACAATTATCTAACAAGAGTGACACAAATAAATAAATATATATGATAAAAAATGTTATAGGAATTTGTTTAAATGAAAAGCACAAACTTACCTCGGCACATATTTTTCCAACTATGGAAATGGTCTCTACAGGGTATAGTCCCCGCAGGGTCTCTGCCCCAAGGAGAATTGCATCACTGCCTGATCAAAAAGAAAGAGGAAAACAAAATTAGAGATGAAAGGTGCAAATCATACTTATGCATAATGTGAACATAACAAACTAAAGGAATATTAATGAATAGCAGAAACATGCACATGTATTAAATGCTAGAGTTTATACAGTTCTGTAATCAAACCGGATTCACCAAATATAACAAAAAGGAATTTACCATCCAACACTGCATTTGCAACATCGGTTGCTTCAGCACGAGTAGGTCTTAGATTGTCAGTCATAGAGTCCACAACACGTGTGACAACAACTGGCTTTCCAGCCATGTTGCACTTGTAAATAGCAGCTTTTTGGAATAAAAACACCTGTCAAATTCATAAATATATGGAAGATTCTAGTAAAGTTTTCTATTGAAGAGAGTAAGAAAGGCTGTAAAAGTCACAAAAAAGTAGACACAAATCTTCCCTCATGCAGAAAAATACAACTAAACAAAATGGAAACATCTCATATATAACATTGGATTTTTCTGTCCAGAAATAAATGCTGACCTTCTCGGGTGGGAGATCTATCCCTAAATTTCCACGAGCAAGGATGATACCATCTGCTTCTCTCAATATCTCATCAAAATGTTTAAGTCCCTATAATAATTTTACAGGAGAAAGAAGCATTTTAGGATCACAATTCAGCACTCAGCTAAAGATCTTGAACCACAGCATTTTACTGTCATACAAGAGGAGAGTTTATTATTCAAAAGATTTCAAGTTTCTTACCTCTATATTTTCAATCTTTGCATAAATATGTGTCTGCTTAAGGTCCCCGAGTTTAGAGAGAAATTCACGTGCCTGCAAAGTGAAAAATTCTTGCATTTGTTTATTTATTTATAATGCTAAGGAGAAAATGATTCACTGAATCACAAGTGGTACCAAAACTAAGAAAACTCAGAAGTTGGAAATAAAATCAGGAAGAATATTAGAGGAAAGGGAATGATATGATAAAATTTATCAGGAATATTCTTACATAGCGAATATCTTCAACGTGACGGGTATATAATGCGAGGAAGTCTATATTGTTCTGAACACCCCATGTGCTTATTACCTGAGTTAAGAGAGTAAAATGAAAAAAGGAACATTTAGATTTACAGAACTACAAGATAATATAACAAAAAGGTATTTGCCATTCATGACTATAAAAGAGGACTCTCAAGTCTCAAACCAGTTATGCTTTTAGTTATTATTGCAGATAAAAGAATTCACAACATCTATTATGTAGTACAAACTGTATACATACATTTGATCTTTTGGATTATCAAATAAATGATCCATTTTCCATTTTGACAGACTAACAGAATGATAAGCCATTGTACAAAAAAATCAAGTAGTTTCAACCTTTGATCAACACAAGCTATAATTTCAAAAACAAAATGCAATCCAACTCTCCCCATGAATATAGATAAAAAATAAAGCATTCCTTCTCAACCACATTATGACACTGGCTACTTGATCACATCACGACAGTCTCACTACTTTTCATTCATAGTTCTTGTTAGTTACCTCTTTATCCTTATCTGTAAGAGTAGGAAGATCAATATGAGTCTGAGAGACATGTACAGTAAACAACGATCCAGAGAGTGTAGCAGTGTTTTTTACAAGACAAGTGACATCATCACCATCCACCTCACTGACCTGCATTGTGAAACCAAAACTGCTTGAGTGACAGTAACAAAACTGAATAATTCTGACTTTGTATTGGCAATATTCTACTTTCCGCACTCTATCATACAATGCTTCCTACAGAGCTAAGTGCAGAAAAGCAGCATACATGTGCCAAGTCTATTATTTGATGTAGAACAAATTTTCTTTAATACAACACTATTATAGACTAATAGAAGCATTAAGATAAAGAATTGTATTACATCGTCAATCATAATAATATCCTACTGAACTGCAATTGTGACAGAGTCTACTTATAGGTAACTCATTTCAATCTGATCATCAAACTTTTGCAAATAGTATAATAAGTAATAACTAGCCTATAACTTAATTACATACCCTAAGGAGGTCAAAAGAAAGGTATTCCAATAACTTACACACAGAATTCATTAAAATAATCACTTAATCGGAATAAAATGTGTGTATGTGCATTGAGATTGTATTAGTCAATCCAATATTGCATTACCTCCATCCATACAGAAGCTGTTTCACTTCCTGTACACAGGTATTTGCCGATAAAAATAATATCACCCTTCTTCACAGCCTGCATAAGTATGGCCACATTAGAAAGGAGACACCACATTGTACACAATCAAAGTACACCTGTAGAACCCACTTAGAACCACATGCAAAAATAGGATCAAAAGTTAAGAGAAAATAAAGAGTCTGTTGAGCTTTAAAAAATTTCCTCACCATAACAAGTATGCAGTGACTATACACAAAAATAGCTACAAACAAAGATAATTGGGACCTGTTTGGATAAGTTTTTCCAAAAGCACTTCTAGGAGAGAAAAATAGGAATGAACAATAAAATGAGTTTCTCCATAAACTAAAATTAACTTGTGTATAAACTAATTTGTAGAAGTTTTCTCCTATTATCTTATCTAAAAACTTATTTTTAATCCATGCATTAATGCATAAGTTAGTTTTAACTTATGAAGAAACTTATTTTTATTTTCCTTTTTATTTTTACATCATAGAAGTGTTTCTAGAGAAGTTTATCCAAGTAAAACTTATTCAATAGAATAATATAGCAAACCCCAAAAATACAAAGTAATTGGAAAAGGTACACTGACCTTTGATAACCCACTAAAATTTATTGGTAAGAGATTTGAACTTGCATCCTTGTTCTGATCTGGAGTTAAGACAACTAATGTGTCTACTTCAAGGGTGATTGGATGATCAGTCTTATTCTCAACCTGTAATTCTGGACCCACAGTATCTACCATAATCTGGAGTTGGACCAAAATGCACGTATGTTTTTTACATCAATTACCCTTCAGAATTTATATACATGTATACGTACCATAAATAAATAAATAGCAAACATATGACAAGCATACCGCACAAAGTTTCTTGGTACTTTTGATAGCAACTCTCAAATTTTCCAATGTCTCTTGATGGTATTCTGGATCACCCCATGAGAAGTCAAACCTTGCCACTAGCACATGGGAAGAAAAGAAGAATGAGATGACAAAACAGATAACTCAGAAGCAGGTTATAGACATGAAAGGGCCATTCCAAACTACAATGAAAGAACAAACAAAACACAATTGTTCAGTTTATTTGTGATAGTCAAAATAAAAATAATTGTGACAAGCTAGATGGCAATAGTTTATTAAAGAAGTCTTTCCGTTTTGGAAAACTATTAGGCTTTCCAACTTGAAACCTGTTTGGATACAAGTTAGGAGTATTTTTGAGAGCTTCTTTACTAAAAAAAGAAAAATTCAGTTGAAGTTATATCCATACAGACTCTTGGTCAAACACAGTTGATTCTAATTGATTGAGATATTCTAACTTTCTTCCAATATAACGAAAAATCTCACATCTTACATTCTTAATATCCTTTACTAAAAGAGGAGAATCAGTGAGATCAATATGGGGAAAATAAAACACATCAATTTTTAAAAAAGGTTCACAAGTAATCAAAGGTTGAAATGGGAAAATACCAGACATTCCTGCATCCAGGCAACGGGAAATTATATCAATTGATCGCGACTTTGGACCAAGTGTGCCAACAATTTTTGTCATAGCTGGAAAGAAAGTCTGCATAACGTATTCCAAACACTTCAATCAAAATCCAAAATTGACAGACACTGAAATTCTTCATTAAATATGGCATGTACTAAAAATTCTCCAGGAAATAGCATGCGACCCATTGATCCTTTCTCTTAAGATCTTAAAACTTAATTTCTACTTAATTTTCACAATTTAAAGACCAACATTTTCTCTTTTTTATAGAAGAAGAATTTGTGAAACAATCAAGTAATCTAAAGCGACAGTACCCTCCATTAAATAAATAAACAAGTTATCCGTTTGGTGAGAGCTTTCAAATCCTTGTCATACAAACAAGCACAAATAATATTTCAAATCAGACTCCAAATCAAATAGACTAGCAAATCCAAACTCAACGTCAGGATAAAAGTGTCTTTCAATTCATCTATGACAGTCATTTTACTAATCGATCTACTAAATTCCTTAGCAACAATCTTAAAGATTAGTTTCTCAGTATCACAGTGCTTAAAAGAAGACAAGAATAACAAAACCAGCACAACCCCACATGAATTGCACCATTTGTCAGACTACAAACGGCTTTGTTTTCATCAACCACAGTCATTTTCAACTTGATCCGCCAAATTCCTCAGCATTTGGCGATCAAAAGCCTCATCACCAACACCACACAACACACTCACTCCAACTAACAACAGCACAAAAGGGTCACCAAAAGTTGATTGCTTTCTCATGATCACCGGCTTGCAACTTTACAAGTCACAACACAAGGAAAAACCATATTAACATAACAACCAGAACACATCAAACTTGAAAACCAGAATGAAAGACAGAGAGAGAGAGAAGGAAATACTAACAGGCTTGGATGGCTCGAGGACAGATGCCATCCTAATGGGTTCCTCAAGAAGCAAAGGGCTGGACTGCATTTTGTGATCAATGAAACCGACCAAAGCAAAGCAAGAAACAATTGTAGAACGAATGAGAGAGAAAGGCCAATAAATATAGAATGTGTTGTACGGTCAAATGTAAGAACGAAAGTTAGTAAATTCAATTGTAAGTATAAACAGGAAGTGTATGTCTATGTGTCATTGTATGTGTGCTTCAAGTTTCGCGAATGATTGAAGTGGCAATAACAGTGTGCTAGAAAGAAAAGTGGGGCTTTTCACAGTGCGACACGCGTCGTGGAATTGAAGTTACCAAAGTCATCACGTGGGGATGCATGGCAACTAAAACCACATAAATTAATTCATAAAAATTAACCAAACTAATTACAATAATTAATTTTCATTAATAATTTCACAAAGCTAGATTTTATTTCAAAAACAATCAAATAGTTTCAATAGTGGTTACATTTAATAATATTACACCTAACTTAAAAGATATTTTTTTATACAAGGAGCAAAGAAAAATATGAATTATACGTATAGTTTGGTTTGATAAAAATAATAGGTAAATGAAAGTGAAAAAGAAAGAAAGGACTGAAAAGGATCTGTGGTAGCGCAGAACACGATATTAGACTGACTTCACTAAACAACGGCTGCTTCAGAAACAGGTAGCGACTGTTAGCTCAAACCACTAACCACCTATTCTTCCACACCATCAACTCTTTCTACGCTACTTTTCTTCATTCAAACACCAAATATATTAATAATAACTTCAACATCTAATACCCCACGTATTTTAGTTTAATTTTTACAATTCAATCAATTCTTGTACGTGTTAAGGTTACCCTAGGCTAAAATAAATTTACACTATTATTTAATTATAAATCATTTTATATGGTATATGTTTATCGACTTTTATAATATTTATATTAATAGTATTTTTTATTAATTGATAATACAAAAGATTCTACACTAATAATGTATAGTTATTATAAGATAAAGTGTTATAATAAGAAGTAAAACCACCAAACTACTGAATACATATTTAAAAAGACAGGATTATTCAGCAATTATGTTACATCTCGTTGATAAACACAGTCAATTTGAACACATGATTTTCCATTTCATTTTAAAAAATAAGTAGAAAAATACGAAATCTATTTTTAAAGGCAACGACCAACTAGAGCGAGACATCAATCAATTGATTCTAGGCCCAACACTGTTTTCCTTTTTTTCAAAATAAAAAATTACCGAAACTGAACAGACAAAGAAAGTCACGCACGAGACAATCTTTAATCAAAGCTGTTTGTTTACTTTTTTTAGCCTTTAAGTCGAAGGAATTTTTGCGTTTACTTAATTCTGATTTTGTTTTGGTGATTATACCGTATGTGGCCGACTAGGCCGAATACCCGAGTTCGTGGCCGACTAGGCCGAATACCCGAGTTCGTGGACGACCAAGTCGAATATCCGAGCCCACCGACCACTCACAATCTAAATGAAACGTGTCGGTGTGCTCGGCCAAGTCACGGATTTACGCCAGGATAATTATGGAGAGGTTAATTTATGTAATGCACCGGATTAGCCTCCTAATTTCCCGGGGCCCAGTCCTTAATCGCGGCCCAATAAGAATCACTATAAATAGGACCCTAGCGAGGTACGTAACTAACTTTGAACTACCACATTTATTACGCCGAGCACTTACTTGAGCATTGGAGTGTCTTTGCAGGCACACCCCCCTCACATCGGACTACCCGGATAGGAACGAGAAGACCGAGACCCAGGATCAGACTCGCTACAACAAGGATAAGTGAAGTGTGTATCCTAACACAGGAACAGTGATGATATAGAATTAATTATTCTGTATAGGAATGTTTTATGTGGCTAATGTATATATTGTGCATAATAATCATAAATAGTTTATGGACTTGTTTGTTTAAGCTTTCTTTATTTTTTTAATAAGATAAGTATTTTTTTTATATGTATTTCTCTAAACTGCTTAAAATAAATTCTATTTACCTTAATAAACAATATATTATATGTTTGTTTAAAAATCACTTTTTAAAATTATTTTTTAGAATTACTTTTTTAAAATTTTAAATAGACCGACTATATATTTGTTGATGACTTTTCAATAACTACAAAAACAATTAATTTGTTTTTTTTTTATGCATCTAACATAGGAAACCAAAGAAAGGAAAGAATTAGGAGCAAATATGGGTTACTTCCATCATATCAACTAATAGGAAAAGGTGTTAGTAAAGAGGATACTCATTCTAAACTAATAAGGTGTCTTTATGGTTTATTCCATATTTAGCCAACCAATCAGCACACAAATTCATTTCATGAAGAGTGTGGCAAAACCATAATGTCCAATGAAAATTCTTGAACTCCCAAATTAGGTTGATTACATGATTATGTGGGTGAACATCATGTACATCTTTATCAATAAGTTTCAAAGCTAGTAATGAATATGATTTACAGATGACAAACTTGAAATTGTAACACTATAAGTTTTAAATGTTTTAATTTAATTATATAATTATTGTTATCATAGAACTTTAGAGTCAAAAAATTTTGAGGGTTAAGTTGGTCTTTGAGGTAGTTGAGTTAAAGATAAATTGGGTGAGCTTCAAAAAGAGTATGAGATTTCTTAGGGTGTGAAACTTGTAAGTTCATGTTTTAGAAAATCCTAGAGAGAAGTTCTTTAGAACTTGAGAAAAACTTTTCCCCTCCTCACTTCTCTAACTCATCTTCCACTCCCTTACAGTTGATCAGGTGGATTGATTGTTGATTCAAGCTTGTGAAACCATGAATCTTAAGCCTTATGATGTGCAAAACTTCCTTCTCCTTGCCTCTTTTTGGTTAAGATCAATAAGAGGTGAGGAAAGCTAGTGACTTGTTGATTTTTGTGTTATTTGTTGAATTTCATGTTGATTTTGTTGTTGAAGTTCATATAGTTGTTGAATTCTTTGATTTGATGAAGATGAAATGATAAGGTACTTAGGTTCTTTTGGTTGTTTGAAGTTGCTCATGAGTTGATGACGATGACTATTGAAATGTAGTGGTTGCATGTTGTTTTGGTAGTTGGAAGTGAGTTTTACATGTTGTATATAAGTGATTTTCCTGGTTGCATGTTGTTGTATTATTGCTTTTAAGGTGGATTGAGTGAAATCAATGTTTGCATAAGTGCATGAACTTATATCGCATCGAGCACGCTTTCAAGGCGTCAAGTGTGACTTCAACGAGGGGTTTCAATCTTGCTCACGTCGGGCACAAGATTGGTGTCATTGGGTGCGAGAATAGAGATTCATCTCAGGTTGGAATCACATCAGGTGTGGTTTGAATATGAGGAGAGAAAATCGTCTCTACCTAGATCCACATCGGGTGTTAGTGAAGTGGCATCGAGCGTGAGTCAGGTAAAGACTCTCCACTTGATTAGGATCAAACATGCGTTCTTGTCACACTAGGAGTGAGAGCATGGGAAACTTTTTGCCTTAACCATGTCGAACGCGAGTAGTTTAGCATCAGGTGTGGGTGAGACAGGGAGCCCCTTATCTCAATGGTGTCGATGTCTTGTGAGTGGCATCGAACGCAAATTGCATGATGAAAACTTGTTTTTTTAAGTTATTTTGTAGTTTAATGTTGATGAATAAATTGTATAAATGATGATGTATGATGATGAATCTATATGTTGTAAAAGCTAAAGGGAAATTAAATGTTGTTTTAGAAATTTAAATATCTCATTGTGTGGGTATATGTTGTGATGCTTTAAGAGCCCAAGTTGAAACCTTTCAGTAAGTAAGTTAATTTCTGAATGAGTAGTTTTTTCTAAGTTATTTCCTTTAGGTTTTATGTGATTTTCACATGTGGATAAGGTTGATGCATACATGTAAAAGAGAGACCAAATGAGTAAAGTACAAAGTCGAGGATTTAGTCTCTAATCGAATATTGGGATGGCATAGTATTTGGAGAATTGTTAGTTGGATAATCTCATAGGTGACTTACTGTTACAAGTTAATATCGTGGTAGACTTATATCCAAGTTGTTTTATCCTAACAATAGTACTAGACTTCCTAGTTTAAGTGATAAAACTTGTTAAATCAAATTGAGTTGTTAAATAGGTTCCCTGAGAGGGCTGATAATTTACTTGATTAAGATAGGTCACACATTGTGATTCAGTAAGGTCTAACCACTTAAATTGTCTACCTTTTTTTTAAGAAATATTCATAGTTGACATGTTTGGCGATGCATTAGTTGTATATTGTTGTTGTGTTGCTTATGATGTGAGATGAAGTTGGTATGCTACTTTAAGTTGTGAATTGTATGAGTATGTTGGTTGATGAGTTGTATGTTGTTTTCTATAAAGCTGACTATGCTATAATTATTGAAAGATGTTTATTAGTTGTGTAATTATGTTGATTATTTTCACAATCTTACCACATGTTCCCCTTGTAGTGGAAACTGTTATGATCATACATTGGTATTAAAGTAGGTTAGGATTAACAAGATTTGTTGGATGTTTTGGTAGCGAGTCATGCTAGTAGTGACTCATTTTGTTGAGGCTACTCAATAGTAGTCAGGTCTTATATAATCATTTGATCGATGATTATGATTAATATGCACAATTGTATATAGTATGTATGTACGAGATCTTTACATGAATAAAATGAAATGCTCATTGTACAATAATCCTATATTAATTGATAATTGTTAATTTTATGTCGATGCGTAGTAGTTGAATCAAAGTAAGTGTAGTTACCTACATACACATATAGTTATATTTTGCTATATTATTGACTATTGAGGTACCGATAAACTACTTACTTTACTTTCAAACTTCTATAACTCATTTTCACAATTCTTGATTTAGGCAATTAACTTATTTAAATTTTAATAAATTATTCTAGCACATAAAAAACTACACTCTTATCATAAATATAACTTTTATTTCTAGTTCATGTAAATTTTTATTTATTTATTTATTATCTTTACAATATTTGTTTATTATTTATTTTGATTTTCATTATGACAAAAAAATTAAAGAAACCACTATGTATTATAGGGTCATAATGACATAAACTAAAAACAAAGATCAGTATATTTGTAGAATAAACATAAAAAACGGTTATATTTTTATAAGGACACTAAAATAAATTTAGGTCACTAAAATTTAGGTTGTTTGCAAAGGACATACAAGATGTTGTTACTAGTGCAGGTTTACGAAGAGGACCAAGAACACATAGAAAGAGAATAATAAATGTTTATTTTCTCTTGATTTTTTCAAAACGTAAAAAGAGACTGAATCGAACATGTTCAACATTCCTAATAATATTCATAAATAACTTGTTATTGGTAATATATGAATGTTATTGTATCCAAATTCTGATGCACGAGACACGTCATTACTCCAAGTACGTGATTATGTCCCTCACATTCAGTTCGGGCTCAACAAGTAGCATAATTCATTAACTAGATACCAATTCTTACACAGATATCCAATAAAGTTGCAATTAATTGTCGGATAATTTCCCATAAATACATAATTAAAACGTGTCCTCTACAATTTGACCTTGAAAACAAAAGCCACGACTAACTTGTTAACAAGTCAAGCTATTTCCAATGTGATAATTAATCGTGATCGGATAATATTAAACTTTGTAGCTGCTAATATAAATCAAAGTCATTGTTTAAAAAAATATTTTAATGCAAGCGTTTTGGGTGGAGATGAGGATTACGTGGAGGCCATATCGGTAAAAGGGCAGAATTGCGCGTAATTGGCACTCAAAGTCATGTCTAGGATGATTGTGATTTGTGATGGAATTCAACACTCTTAAGTCTTATCTCCCCCATTCAATTAGTTCCATTGCCAATTCTACCATCCAACTATTTTTACTTTTAAGACTTCTAAAGCATTCAAAAATAGCTTTTTCAACTTTTATATTAAAATTACTCCAAGCAATAAAATTCTGTTTTCATGTCTAATTATGTCAAACATTCATTAACAAAATTTAATTATTTACAAAATTAATTTCAAAATATTAATTACATTTAAAAAACATATATCACGCAGCTGCATAAATATATCATATTCTTTTAAAATGAAGATGTAGATTTTTGTTATATGATAGTGAATTTCATGGCAAAACAATTATAACACAAAAATATTGAAAAGTCCAAATTTATGTGGGCTCTCTCTTATGAGGCGGAGCCCGAGGGTTGGAATAAACTTTGTGCTAAATTCTTTTATTAAGAAATTAAAAATATAATATTATTGAATATTTTATAATTTTTAATAAAATAGATAAAAGTTTAAGATTGAAAGGAATTGCACAATGAATCATTTAAAACATAATATATCAATATAATGTGTTAAAATTTAATAATTTAATTTAAATAAGAATTAATTAATATTATAATAATTAAATTGCATTGTTTTAAATTTAAAAATATTAACTACTAAGGATTGAGATAGTTAGAAACATGGAGACCTAAGTTCAACTCTCGTTTCAACCATTTTTGTAATTTTTTCTATCTTTACTAAAAAAATGTAAAAATATTAATTTATTATATAAAAATTAAAAAGTAAATATATAGCAACTTACAAGGGTTCCCACTTCACACAAGTTGATAAACAAAACAAAGCATTCACACAAGATTCAAATTCATGAATTAAAAAAGTAGACCAAAGTTTATGATAGTCAAAGCTGCTATTTTTTTCTTCTTCTCTCATGTTGTATAGTAAAAGTAGAAAACTACTATTAAACTATAAAGGGGGGGTAACATGAAGATCATAGTAGAATTGAAGTCGATTTCTATAAATAAAATTTGAAGTTTGAATCTTGAATAATATATTTCATTAAAGGTAATTAATTAGTTTACGATAAAAAAAAAAAAAATTCATTGACAAAATAAATGATACTGACAAAAGAAAAAAGTATAGAAAAAATTATAAAAGTTATTAATTTTGGTAAATGATTGTCGGAGCGTGTGAATGGGGGCATAGAAAAATAAGCAGAAAAAAAAAATGACATGTCTTTAATTCCATACACTCGCTTTCTCTGCAATTTCGCATTCTTTTCCTTTCACTGCACAACTCCCATATACTTCCCTTTCTCTCTCTCTCTCTCTTCTTCTCTTTGTTACCATTTTCCACTGTTTCGTCTCAGCTCAAGGATTTTCCTGATCGGTGAGTTTCTGGGCCTGCTACACGTGCTTCTATGTCACTATATGTTTTTTGTGTAAATTTTATGCTTCAGAAGTTGCAAACTGAATATTAACTTGTGATTTTATTTTTTATTTATGGGTCTGTGTCATTTTCCTTTCTAACTGCAGTCGGAATCGGAAAGTATATTCCTTTCGGTTTGGGATTTTGGTTAGTTACTGTTTGTTAATAAAGTAAGCAAAGGGGAATGGAAAAACACTAGAATCTCCAGATTTATATTGCCCTTTTTCTTTAACTACTAAATATTCTTCACCAATTTTTTGCAATTGTGGAGTTGGTGCAAGAAGTTAATAGATTTTTTTTTTCTTTTTCAGAATAATATGCTAAGGAAAAATCATGTAAAATAGGGAAAAAAAAAATCTTTTGTTGCCCCTATTTCCTCTTTTTGTTTTATTTTCCTTTTATATTTGTTGAAAAATCCGTGCATTTTTTAATTTTTAATTTTGGGTTTATCGGTGTGAGATATACCATGGTTAGAAACTATACAAGTTTGTGATTAATTCCCGGTCAAGTCTAAGATTTTTAACTACAATTTGAAGTCAAAATTATGAATTTGCTGAGCATTATATCACCATTTTATTAAATCCAGGATATAATTGCTTTTGGTATGTATATCACCTTTTCAATCTTAAGATATCCATTTCAAATATTTTATAGTTTGCTTTTGCTAGATTTTGCCAAACATTCCAATACAAGGAAAATTGGTAATTAAATCATTAAGCTACAAGATGAAGTGATTTACCTTTGGCCCATCAATCTATTGCATCAAAATGCTATAACACGGGGGATAAATTTGCACCGTATAAAACTAGGAGCAACCAATAGGTCTCATGAGTTAAGTAAGGTTTGAATTAAGCAGTGAAAGAGAAAAAATAGATTGTCTTGGAAGGGGAAAAAGGTGATTTTTAATTCTCAAATAAACCATTGTTGTACTTGAAACATGTAAAATTTTTGAAACTGCAGAAGATGATACGGTTGGAAATAGTTTGGCATGGTTGGAAGATGTTAGAATGGTACACTGTATGCAACATGTAGCAAATAATAGAAACTAAGCAGTATGCACTAGGCCAAATTTAATTACTTCAAGCTCAATCTTTGCACCCCTCCTTCCATTGCCATGGGACAGAATAGTAAAAATAAGCTTGTTAAAAGATCGAGTACATATTATGTTGTTTTATTTTTAACTGACAATAATGATATTAAAAATGTTTGATATTAAACTTTTGAGATGACATTTTATACTGTGTCATAAAATATTTGATTCAGGTTGAATTTTATCTGGTAGCTGGATACTTAATGCCCATTTTGACAATCTTATTTTGTGTGATTTTCTGAGTAGTACAGAGCTATGACCAAGGACTTGTCTTAAAGAACATTTTTTTACCATTATTAGGTAAGCAATGGTTGGTGCATCATGGTTTCGAACTCTATGGAAGACTCAACGGAAGGATGATGCTAAGTCTGAGAATGCAGTGATTGGAGTATTAGCATTTGAGGTTGCAAACCTGATGTCCAAACTTGTTAATTTGTGGCAGTCTTCGAGTGATAAACAGGTTGCTAAGTTGAGAGAAGAGATAACAAATTCAGTGGGTATCAGAAAGCTTGTGTCTGACGATGAGAATTTAATTGTACGTTTAATCAGTCTAGAGATGCTTGAGAATATGGCACATGTGGCTGCATCTGTGGCTAGGCTTGCAAAGAAATGCAGTGATCCAAGTTTGAAAGATTTTGAGAATGCGTTTGATGAATTTATCACATTTGGTTTTGATCCATATCGATGGGGATTCACTTTCAAGAAAATGGAAAAGAAGGTAAAAAGGATGGAAAAGTTCATATCAACTAATGCAACTTTGTATCAAGAGATGGAAATGCTTGCTGATCTTGAGCAAACTCTAGGAAGAATGAAGGCTTACACTGAGGCTGATGAACTAAATTTAATTGACTATCAAAAGAAGGTTGCATGGAAGAGGCTGGAGGTGAAGAACTTAAAGGCTAATTCTCTGTGGAATAGGACTTATGATTACACGGTACATTTCTTAGCAAGATCTTTATTTACAATATTCAGCACGATCAACAACGTATTTGGAATTCAAGAGATTATAGATGTTCGTAAAACCAAGAATGGATCAGTTTCTGATCATGCTCATGGCAGTCGATCGGTTTCTGAATTATTGCAACCTTCAGTCCAACCCTCCAGCAAAGTGCGTGCCAGGTTTGCTTCGGGACCCCTCGGTGCTTTTGCTGCTAAATCTCGTCCAAATGCTCTAACAAATAAAGCTAGCATGTTTCCTTCAGATGGTGGAGACTCATCCACAAAGTCGGGCCTAATTTCAGCAAAGAATAGAGGCTTCAATTTTTTCTCAGGTCCTCTTGGAAGAAACTCAAAAAAGCCAGTCCCAGATAATGGAACAAATAAAAACAGCAAGATTTGGAGCTTTCATGGCCCCTCAAAGGAAAGTAACACAAGACATAATCGACTGACTCAAGTAGAACCTTTCAAAGGATTAGCAACACAGAATGTCAATGATGCTGGTGCAAACCATGTTACTCCAGGAAAAGAGGTTCTTCGCACTCGATCTACTTTCAGTTACCTATGCAGGCTAAAGGCTCCATCTGAATCCCTTGGTGCTGCTTCTTTAGCCTTGCACTATGCAAATGTTATCATCATGATAGAGAAGCTAGCAACATCTCCATACTTGATTGGTCTTGATGCAAAAGATGATCTGTACAACATGTTACCCAGACGTGTAAGAGCTGCTCTTAGGACCAAGCTAAAGCCGTATACCAAGGCCATGGCCTCAGCAGTCTACGATGTGGTTTTAGCAGAAGAATGGACGGAAGCAATGACGGGTATACTAGAATGGTTAGCTCCACTTGCTCACAACATGCTAAGATGGCAATCTGAGAGAAGTTATGAGCAACATTGCTTTGTTTCCAGGACAAATGTGTTGCTGGTGCAAACCCTTTACTTTGCAAATCAAGAAAAAACAGAAATAATAATCACTGAGCTTCTTGTGGGTCTGAATTATGTGTGGAGATATGCTAGGGAGCTCAACAAAAAAGCTCTGCTAGACTCTGGCAGTGGTGGTGTAGATAATGGATATTCTCAACTGAATGGATAATTAAGCAATTTTCATGGCAGTTTTCATTTTTCAACAAAAGTTCAGTCCCCGGCAATTATTGATTGGGATGAAGATCTTCAGAGACACCAAACTTCTGGCTTCTTAAATCCCAATGAATGTGAATCAAGTGCTAGATGGAGCATGAGAGAAATATTCACACTGATATGAATTTTTCGGTGTCAGAATGCATTCTTGGTGAGGACTGTTATTTTTAAATATTTAGCATTGGTTTTCTTTGAGGAGATCCTAGCTGATTTAACTTGGATCGCAGGCCTCTTCTTTGAAAACTTGCCCTATTGATGCATATTTATGAGCACTATATATATTTAAATTGTATAGCTTTTATCTACCTGGATATTTCTGTATTGATATCTTTTGCACGGTAGGACATAATGATTTCAAAATGCTGTATACGTTTGGTATGTAAAAGTATTTTCTGTTTTTATTAATAATTTTAATTAAAAATTTATATTATTTTCATTTTATTTATTTTTTTGAAAAATTGTGCAGAAAATAATGAATATAATGGCTTTTTGATTATTTGTGAAAAAAAAATCTAAATGCATAAAAAAAATGAAGTGGTATTTTTAAAAATTGTTAGTCAATTATCAATTAGAATAGTTTTTTAAAGTATTGTGGCACTTCTGCTGGATAAAAAAGTTCCATTAGGACGCGATAATTTGAGGCATAAGTAATTCTATACAAACAAGGAGGTAAACAAAGTTTTGTTGCCATGGAGCATTATCTCCTTTTGCATCAAAGGTTTCATTGAATAATGATGACCTTTTACGAGGAGCACAACTCAAGTTAATGGCATTAGAGCATACCAACTACCCATTTTTAATTTAATTTATTGATGGGCTGGTGCTATAATTAATTTCCGGAATGTTGGTAGATTTTTGGTTGAATTAGCTTGACAACTAATCATTTTACGAACTAAAACGAAAAAACTTTTAGTTATATTTTATTTCGGATTAAAGTACTGTGTTAATGTTAGGTAAAAAGTTACGCGAAAAACGTGAAAAAGTTCTCAAGGGAAGAACTTTTGGGGCAAAAAAGTTCATGTGTAAAGTACCTCAAGTTGTCATTTGTATAATAAAATCTACAAATTCAAAACATTTATTAAAGATGTTATTGACAACTTTTTTAAGAATACTGATCAAGAAATCAATAAATATAATGTTTTTACTAAAACTTACCGCAAGAGTATGTATTAGAAATTGCAACAGAAATATATTAATAGTATTTTATAATTTTTATTTTGAGTTCTTAAGTATTATTTTTCGTAATTAAAATATATGGTTTGTTATATTTAAACAAAGGAAATCTGGTAGTCCTTTATATTAGGGGGTGGATTTGAGGGAAAAATTAAATGTACACCCTAAATTTGGGATGTAAATATAAAATGAGCGGATAAAAGAAAATTAAAATAAAAGTGAGATGAAAGAAAAGAAAATGTGTATGAATGTATTAACCCGATTTGGGGTTATAAAAACGGGCAAGAGACTTGTACTTAGAAGTGAAGTAGAAACCAATGACGAGATAAGAAGTGAAACATGAAGAAAGGAAAAAAAAAAAAAAACTCACTTTTAAATAGTGTCAAGGTGCTTTGCAAAGTCCCATTTTTGATTGTCTAATGTAGTATGAATGGTTGGTATTATAAAGCAATTTATTGTGTTAGTGAATAAATAATAATATTATTAAATTTGACTTGAACTAACTATTTTAATTTGATAATTCATCGATGATTAAATATATTATTTTTTTATTTATAAAAGTTATATTTGCTCTTCGTTCTATCACTTTGTTCCATGTCACAATGGATTATGCACCTTAGTAAATTTTATAAAATCGACTTGTAAGGTAAGAATTATCTTATACTTATAAAATGTTTGATTGCAATATTTCTAGTCGATGTGAAATTTTATTTTTTTCCAATACATTCTCATATTCTATTGAGTATGATGCCTTAATAAATGATGAGTGACAATTTTAATAATTTAAGATATGCAAGACTTGAGTTTTTTTTAATATACCCCCTCATACTTAACACTAATAGATTTGATTAGTGTATCAATGATAAATGTCCTATGTCATGTCTATGCATGTTGATTGGATTGTTGAACGGTGTTGCCATTAAATACCAATTGATTCATAATTGTCAAAAAAAAATATAGTAATTAACAAAAAATTACATAAAAATGAAAGTTTTGACTTTGGTAGAACTAGAGCTCTTAAGTTATTAAAAGACAACTCAATCACTACTTACCTGTTTATTGATTATATATGATTAAATTCATTTTCATAATATATCATTAATATAAATATATATATTTAATAATATATTGATTTATACTGACTCAATATTTTCACTAAGCTAACTACTAATTCAGTTCTAATAACCTTGATAAAAAGAATATTTTATGATAGAATTATTATACTCTTTTAACATTTTAGACTCCACAACGTGATTCTATAGAACTAATATAAAGTGTGTCGATCTATTGAGTTGAGACACTAGTGCAAGGATAATGGTGTTGCGGGCATAGACAATGAAGTCATAGTGAAGTCTAGGCAACAAATTGTGTAAGGTTGAGGAAAGTAGCACCCACAAGGATAGAAGAAAACTAGAGAAGTATCATTAGAGACAAAAAGAAAATAAAAGTCTTTGATCAAAGAAGACTGATAGAGAAGAAGAAGAATAGGGCAAAGGTGATGATGGAAGCAAATTAGAATGAGGAGGTGCTGTCAGCATTAAAGCTTGGGTCATATTTGGGATAATGAGACTCAGTCTTTTTTTTTATATTATTTTTTTTCTATTTATTTTATTGAAGCCAACGACATAATACAAGGGAGTAACATATTATTATATATATATATATATATTGATATTTTAAAGCAATATTTTACTTTATTTCAGACTTACTTAATTACACTTTTCTTTTTGTATTTTAGTGTGATATTCTTAATTTTTCACATTTAATTTTCATAATGTTGAATCATTGAAATTAAATTTGTCGGCATAATTTTATTTCAACAATTAATTGAAATATATGAAATGCATTCTACTTTATCTCAGACTTAATTACAGTCTCAACTTTTGTGTTTTAGTACAACATTCTTAGTTTTTCACATTTAATTTTTATAACGTGTCATCATTGAAATTAAATTTCTGGGCATAACTTTTGTTCAACAATTAATTGAAATATACGAAATGCGTGTTATGGCATTGATTATATAGATTTTTTTACCAATAAAAAATATTAGAATGAACACAATAAATTTAAAACAAAATATTTAAAATATTTTTTTATTAAACATTGATTATATACATGTATAAAGAGAAAAATGTACTATAAAATGTTTTTAAAATAGAAACAAAATGTAAAAAATGTTTTTGGTCACGAAAGTGTAAAAAAAATATGTAAGTATCATTTTCTTTTTTTTCCTAAATTTTCAATCATTTTTAATACAAATCACAAAAATTTTCTACATGAGATAATTTTATTTGAAACAAGTTTTTCTATAAAAATTAATTATCAATTTCATTTCTATATTAGAATGTACGATAAATCATATAATCAAAATTATATATGTATGTATTTAAACTTATGAAAATGACTTTAAGAATGCATGAAATATATATATAAATATTAAGAATTGATGTTATTTAAACAAAAATAATATAGTGGCTAGTAGAGAAATTGAAATATGAAGGGAGAGAATAGAGATAACGATAGCTTGGGTTGGAAGAGTGGGGCGGGCACAAACTTATTAATATTGGTCGCTAATGTGACGCGGGAGCACGATAGTTAGCGCACCACACCTCACACACACACACTTCCCCGCTTGGACGTTAGGTATTCTTGGTTTCGACACAACATAGCGACGTAGCGTAACCCTTTCTCTCTTTCATCGTTCGCCGGAGTCTTAGCTCCTCCACCCTCGCCGGCATGGATGTGCCGAAACACCGCTCCACTCGAACTACGTCTCTCAGAGACGCCTCCGACTCCTCCAAAATGGAAGGCACCGGTAGCTGGGACGCTATCGAATGGACCAAGATTGAGGTTCTGTTCTCATTTTTCTTCTTCTTATTATTTTCCTTTTGTTTTATTTAACATTATTCATTTCTTGATTCAATCTATTTGCCTTTCTCCTTATTATATTTGCAGCCAATTCCGCGCTTCGTCTCGCACGCGAATCTCGATTTCTTGCTCGAGTCGGAGCAAGTTGCAGCCGAAGTACGCAGTAACACCTTTAATTCTCACTGTTATTAATTCATTTTGAGGAATCTAGAAAATTCGCCGTTTGTTCCTTCTGTTTTGGTAATCTAGGTTGTGTATTGTGTGATTTGTGGAGCGGTTATGGTTTTTTTTTTTTATATATTTTTTTTAATAGTTTTCTTTCCGAATTAATTAGTCTGGTTTTGATCGTGTGTTCTGAGTCTGCGAAAGTGCGTGGAATGTGAGGAATGATGATAGGGCAGAGAACAGTTACCGTGCTGAGTTTATTGAAAACTTCATTAGGGTTAAGTCTAAGATAGTACTGATATTGACTTGCAACGCTTTGTTATGCATTGGCAAATGTCCATTATAGTTTCCTGTTTACATGGAGATACTTTTATGAAATACTACTCCCTGTGTTCTCTATTATAGGCACAACTCTATTAAATATAAGTAAATTTCAATTATTTTTACCTTATTTAATGATATTTTCTCTAAAATGTCCGTCCTTTACTGCATAAAAACAATTATAATAAGAACAATTTCGGAAGAATATGATGAGATTGGTAATATTTAATGCAGTTAACTAATTTCTTTAATATGCACGAGATCTTTTTTTTTTTTTTTTTTTTGCTTGTAATAGAAAACAGAAGGAGGACCTCTGTTCCTATTTGTAAGACTCAACTTAGAACCCAATCCATACTATTTTATGTATTAATTATTTTTAGACTAAAATACTCCTAATTAAGATATGTTCTCTTAATTTGGTGATATACATCAATTATATTCTCTTTAAAAGACTCTAATAGGTTAGGAGAGAGAGCAATATTAATTAAGAGAGAGAAGCAGTATAAGACATACACTTTAATTGGTTAAGAGAAAGAAAAGTACAAGTTTAATTAGGAGAGAAAAATAGTAATAGAGTTGTTTAAAAAAGAATATAAAAGTTTGACAAATTTATTATTATAAACTATACTAACTACTTTTCTTAATCTTTGTAAATCAGGTATTTGGGTATTATGTATATAGTAATGGAGGTAGTATTTGGTTGAGATTGCTCTGGAAGTGGGTTTTCTTAGAAGTTATTTTGGAAAGCAGAGAGAGAAAGAGAATCCAGAAATTTGGAACTGATAAATACAGATTTTTTATTATTTTATTTTATTTTATTTTATTTAATTTGTTGAGAAATCCTGACTTGTACGGACTACAACAAAATATACTCAGGAAATCAAGTGCTCTGATTCCTCTCCATTGTGAACCTCTAGCAATAAAACAGGATGCAAATATGCCTAGGAAGGCAAATGCTCCATGAAATTTCTCTTCAGTGTGAACCTTTTTGGCTTTTGCTAACTTTTACTACTAATACAAGTCTGAATATTTTAAATTCACATTTATCCTGTTTGAGTCTATTGTATGAAATTCAGTTGGTATTGGTGTTTATTTTCAGGGACATGGTGTTGTTCTTGTTAATACAGATGATGCAGGCACACTGATGGTAACAAATTTTCGTCTTATTTTTTTGGTAAGTTCATTTATGTAATATTTTTCTAAACAACTTCTGAATTATTTTTTATTATGAGGTTACTATGATGTAGGAGCAGTCTTGAATATGTGATTAGAATTTAGGAAATATCCACAACCTAGAAAGGTGACTGAATACCCATAGGAAGGACAATATAAATGTATACTAGTGTTTGGTTGAAAAATCATTGCATGCAACTGTTTGAAGAATATTTTAATTTTGATTTGGGCTTTACCACTTGACTGATCAGGAAGTTGTGGAAACACTTGATCAAGTCTTAAATATGTTGGAAAAAGTTGCATTTTTGAATTTCCATATCACCCAAATCTAATATCCTTTGCTGCGATTTAAAATTCACCTCACTGAAGTGTATGTTTGTTGATCATTCCTTATATTTTCCCTAAAATCCATCGGTTCATAGCACCTGACACCCATCAAGCTTGAAACCATACCCAATGCACGTGTTTAGCCTAAAAAAGTTGGTGAATACCATGCTAGCTATGCTTCTAGGCCTATTCCAATCTTAAGTGAACCAATATTAATATTCATTGGTGTTAGACTTAAATATGTAGTGTTCTGAGAAGTTCATCTTTTGCTTCTTCAAAATAAAATAAAATAAAAACTAAAAAAATACAGCAACAATTGTATGAAATTTGTCAAATGATCAGAAATAGATTCTGATATTTCGAAATTTATTTCAAGAGCATTCGCAGATTTGCTAACATGAAAAAAATTACTCAATTTCAAACTTGATTTCCATGAGCATAACAATCACTTGTAAAAACTATTGTTATTGTCCCTAACCAATATGTATAATAAGTCAAATGCCATAGTTGTTACAAAATTGTTGCCTTTCTCATTACCATTTTTGGTTTGAAACCAATGTCAAAATATTTTAAAATAATCAACTTGTATGCTCACAAAAATGTTCTGATAATCACGCTCAGCCAATATTGAGTTTCTAAAATTTTGCTTATGATAAGAACCTTGGGAGATTCACATCAGAAAAACTAGGCATTGTAGCTGGAGAGTCCAAAGCCTTATCCAACCCCATGCTAGGATCCCATGCTTCCATTGTGGGACTCTTGAGTGTCATACCTTACAATTGGTTCTTAACAGCTTCTCCTTTAGGTCCATATGGCTCTAATATTCCAAATTCAGTGCTGGAAAGTTGAAAGCAATTTAAAAATTTGAGAAGGTTCAAATAGAAATATTATATGTAGAAACCACTCAATTTCTAAAAGGTCTTTCCACTAAAATTTGCAACGTAAACCTGGAGATTCCATAAATCATTCTCAAAGAGCCAAATAAGCAATTTTAAAGCAGAGGTTAACATCCACTCTACTCATAGGGCATTCTCTCACTTAAGAGAATCACCCCTTGAGAAGCTGTAGAAGAGAAAAAGGGACAAATAATATTTTTAAGTTTTCACCAAAATCCCAAAAAAAGAGGCTTATTGCATAGAGTGTGGGAAAAAAAAAAAGAACATGTATGAAAAAAAAAAAGAGGAGGGGCAGTAGAATGAGAAGTGTGCTGAGTTGAGGAGAGAAGAGGAGATCCACAAAGAAAGGACCTGGCTTTTGGGGTATTATGATGTTAAACGAAGATAAAAACTAAGAAGTAAGAAGCTGCCATTAAAAGACAACCATTCTTGACAAAATTAAATGGTGTGTTACTTTAAATGGAGAGAGAAAGGAAAAAAATACCTCCTCTAGTCATTATTTTAAGACATTTCTAACTGAATCACACATGCTAATATAAGTTTATTTTAGGCATTTCGTGTCTCTTTGTATTTCATTTAAAAATAATATAAAATATAAATAATAAAGGTTGCAACATGTAAATCGTGAAATGATGTATAATTATAAAAAAATAAAATAATCTTAAATCAAGATGGAGACGATAAGTGGTTACAAAATAAAAAGGATAATTATTATTGATAGAATGGACATTTAATTTTTTTATGCATTTTTTTTCTTTCTATTTTATCTTTAAGAGATATGATGATGGAAAAAATTAAATGTAATAGAGGGGTATAAATGTCTAAAAAAATGTGGAAACCAAAGGAGGTATCCCCTTTATATGTAGTATAGAAGTATAGATAAAATAAAATCATAATATATTAATTTTACCCGTCTTATTTATCATTAAATTTTCATGAGAGGTGAAGATACTACTCCATGTCAAAGCTTATGTTCCAATGGCAATGAAATTGATAAATGACAATTGAAGAGTTTAAAAGGCGAGAGAGAACATTTAGTTCTCAAATTTTCTTCTCATTATCCAACAATTATCCAACAAAAAAAATATATTCTCACAATTTTTAATAGGGACAAAAAATGAAAAATAAAATTAATGCTTTATATAAATTGTAAATTGTCTTATAAAAAGGATCATTATTCACTTCTAAAGTGTGCCTTATAATAAGGACCGACAGGAATAATAAAAAAATGATTGAAAAGGGAAGTGTTCTTATTTTGATTGTGGTTAGTATCATGGTGGTAAGGTATCACTTGATTAACTATTTAAAGTGTCTGTTTGGATAAACTTCTCTCTAAGCTAAAATTAGCTTATGCACAAGTTAAAATAAGATTTTGGGAAAGCTAATAGGAAAGAGTTTTTATAAATTTGCTTTGCATAAGCTAATTTTAGCTTATGGAGGCACTCATTTCATTTTTCCTTCATATTTTTCTCTTATAAAAGTGTTTCAGGAGAAGTTTACCTAAACAAACTTAAAATCTGATAGCTTTGGTAACTTTCTTGTCTTGTAGCTACCTTATGGCTTGCACTTACAGAATCTAGCATTTGATTTATATACTATAGTCCAAACATTGACATCTGTAATTGTATGGAATGTGAAATATATAATTAGTTCACAGTACATTATCCTCTTGTTCCAATTTCTTTGTTTCTGTAAGTGAATATGCTTGCTGGCAATTAGTTGCCTCACATTCATCCAATCATCATGCTAGTTAATGTGCATTTTAATGCATCTACTTTCAGCTGTTTGTCTGGGAATTTTTTTTGCCTATTTATCTGTAAATAATCTGTATTTACTTTCTGATTTCCTTTATTGCATTTTCTAGAGTGAGGGAACTAGAAAAGTTATTGCCCTCGGAACAATACCACTAGCAACCATTGAGAAGTATAACAAGATAGTAAGTTCATGCAATGGTTTCTGCAAACTATTTGCTTGTGTTGTGTATATTGTTATTTAATTTGGTTATGTTGTATTAGATTGATCTGAACCTTCTGTGTCTGCCTCACATATATGTTGACAAATGTTTTTGACATACTATAATCAGATATACGTGAAATAAAATTCAAATAATGATTTTGGAGTGACCATGCATATCCCTTTTGTACAAGTTTGGTCAGCCTCTTTTTTAATCCCATCTTTTTTTTTTGCTTATTTTATTTTTTTGCTTCCCTTTACAATGCACACTTGGGCATGCACACACACTCCCATATTATTTTATGTTAGAATTTAGTCATAGGTTGTAGAATATTGGAAGTCTTCAAATAATTACTAATTCTTGGGGTTACCACCAATAGAACATTGGAATACCCACAGTGTGAACCTAGACTGATTCATGAAGGGGAAATAGGACTTTGATATTTTAATTGGTTTCTTCTATAAAAACATATCTTGAATGGCCTGAATTTTTTACTTTGATTGACTTGCCCATTAGATGGATTTCTGCCATTAGTTCATGCGCTGGTATCAGCACAGCCACATAAATGAATATCTGTATTCTTTCACATATCTATTAATGTTGTAAAAAATTTGAATTATATCTGTATGGTGTGTTATCGACAATTAAGTGTAATTTTTTTGTCTTGATTCTGGTTCCTACTTTTGTCACGATTATTTGGAACCTCATGCATAGCTCTCTTTTAAATCCATAGGCTGTAAAGGTCCAGTCAAATACTCGCAATGTTGACAAAACACCAACACAGAGACTGCTCCAGGTGATTGGTATGCATAAACTCCCCTTGATCGTTGTTTTCTTTTAAATATGTAACTAATGAAATTACCATGCAAGATTTGTAGATATTTCTGATAAATTATTAGATGGAGGATAAATCTTGCTGCTGATTGGAGGTTTAATACCATGAAATACTATGACTTTTTACTGTATATTGAATTCGACTACTATTATCTCATTTTGGTCCAAACTATGGATGGGTATTTTGGCCATAGGCAATGGTGTTTGTCAAGATATATGGGTCCTTCCTATGATTTTATTTGATGAAGAGTGATTGTTGTCATATTGCCAAACTAGGTGGAATCCTTGTAGTCTTTGTAACTTCTGTCTCTTCCCCTTCCTCTTGTTTAACCTAATCTGCTTCAAGGTTATGTACACGGATAGAATATGGTAAAGTTGATGAGGACCCTTGCTTGATCAATTTAGAACTTTTGCTAGTAGCAGGGGACTTACTGATTGTTTAGGTATTTCAAGGATTTATTTCGATTGAATGGTATGTTTTCCATCAAGTTTGATATGTAGTTTATGTTTATTTCTATTTTATTTTTCTTGCCTGCCTTGTATAAATGAAGACTTTATTGGAAGAGAAGAACATAAATGGGTTGCAAAAAATAATAATGCAAGAGGGTCCTAGAAATATACATCACATTAAAATACTAGAAATTTTAATATACATCACATTAAAATAGCTATTCAATCTTTTGCATTTCAAACAAAGATATACAAAAGGGTCCTAGAAATTTTAGTTGTTAGGTGAAGGAACAAAGTTGATTTTATATTTCCAAGAAATACTAAAGTATTGCAGATTAATTAGAACCTTAAATTAGTTGCTTTTTTAGTATATGTATTAGCTGTAGTTATAGTCTGAAACCTTTTATTGTTATATCGTAAAATAAGAAACTTTAATTTTAAATAATGTTGTTTTGAGATTGGGCTAGAACTGGGTGTAACTTTGAATTTGGAGGTCTTACTAGCTAGCAGCTTTCTATTTATTTTAATATTCATGTATTTATTTTATTTTTTAATACTTAATATTAAAAAGTGTGCATTGTATGCTGCTTCTATTTGGTGTAAAGCACATGGTCTTTTCAAGGGATTTACTTTATAATATAAACTGGGCAGCTTTCTGCATTGATTTATTTTTTTATGTTGCTTTTCTCCCTTTTTATTAAGGGGGATTCCATATCCTTTTAATTTGTGGTATTTTTGTCATTATCTTAAATCTTAATAATTTTTTAATAAAAGAAAATACTATTTTTATTCACATATGCAGGAAAAGATATGAGAATTTTAGTCTTCAGTTTCAGGCCACGCACAAAACAGGTAATTCTCAGTTTTAGCTTGGATTTATTAAATACTTACTGTGCAGATATTTAATACTTTTGGATTCCATCTTTATAAAATTTTCAAATGTCATTGACTTTCTCTCATCTGAATGTCTGTTTGTGAATACTCCTAATTTATCTATTTGGTTCCCCTTTTCCCTTCATTTCTTCATCTTAGAAGAAAACAGCTCACAAAGTTGCAAGAATTCTTCATTTTCCTTAAGAATTCTATGAGCTGCTAGAAATGAGTCCGAGACATATACACAATTTCATCATACATGGATAGGATAAATCACAAAGCTATTCACAGCAGGTCTTTGTGGATAGTCCCCAAAGATGGAGAGATGTTTTAACCTTTTATGTTAGTTTTCTTATAGGAGAAATAGAAGAAACTGAATATTTGAAGTGAATATTATTGAAAAGGTAAACTGCACATTGTGCGGTATGGTTACATATATAGAGAATTACAACAAAGAGAATAACCAAGCCTAAACAGAAAAACTAACTCAATACAACTAATAAAAGTATTTATTATTTATTCTCTAATACACCCCCCACAAGCTCAAGGAGGATGAAACACAACAGATGGGTTGACCACATTGAGCTTGGAACGGAGAAACAAAAATCTTCTTGGTGATAGAGCCTTTGTCAAAATGTCTACATATTGATGTTGAGCAGGTACATGTGAAACAACCAGAGTTTTACTTGGCACCTTTTCTCGAACAAAAAAGATGTCTAGTTCCATATGTTTGGATCTTGAGTGTAGGACAGGATTGTGAGATAAAGCAACTGTACTCTGATTGTCACAGAGCACTGTAGGAGTATTTATTTTGACTTTTAATTCCTTTAGGACCGAGATAGATGCAGGCTGCTGAAGTAGATCGTCGGTCATTAGGATCAGACGCCCAATCAGCATCAGTAAAGGCAGTAAGATTAAAAGAGGAAGTAGAAGTGGCAGGGGTGAAAAGTATTCCATGTCCAATAGTGCCTTTAAGATACCTAAGTATTCTTTTAACAGCTTTCCAATGTTCCTCCATTGGAGCACACATAAACTGACTCACTTTATTACACTAAAAGCAATCTCTGGTCGTGTGATTGTAGCATATTGCAAGGCACCAACAACAGATCTGTATAAGGTTGGATCATCAAACAATGTACCCTCCTTAGCAAGTTGTTGACCTCCAACCATAGGAGTAGATATCCCTCTAGAGTCATCCATTTTAACTCTAGTAAGCAGATCAGTGATGTATTTGTCTTGAGATAAAAATAGTCTTCCTTGAGAAAGAAATTTAACTTCAATACCCAAGAAATAATCCACGGTACCAAGATCTTTAAGAGAAAAATGCTTATGAAGCTGATCAATTAATTTTTGCAATAAGGAAGGAGAATTGCTAGTAAGAATAATATCATCCACATAAACAAGCATGTAAATAGTGACTGTTGAATCAGATAAGATGAATAGACTAGGATCACATTTGCTTTTACTGAACCCAAGCATGAGTAGGACAGAGGTTAATCTTTCAAACCAAGCACGAGGGGCCTGTTTCAGACCATAAAGGGCTTTTTGCAATTTGCAAACCAGATGTTTAGTCCCAGGTTTAACAAAACCAAGAGGTTGAGACATATAAATGTCTTCCTCAAGCATTCCATTAAGGAATGCATTATTAATATCCAGCTGTCGAATAGACCAGTTAAAGGAAATAGCAAGAGAAAGAACAACCCGAATGGTAACAGGTTTAACTACAGGAGAAAACGTTTCAGAGTATAAGAGAAGCGATTCTCAGAAGAAGAATATTATTGATTATTATCACACACTCAATACATGAGAGATGTATCCGTATATATACTTGACTGACTTAACTAACCCAAGTAGTCTAACTAACTAACCTAAAGATATAAGCTGAAATACAATCAGAAAAATATATTTGAAATACACAGAAATAAGATAATAAAATAAAAGTATTTATTATTCTATTCTTTTCTCTAATACACCCCCCACAAGCTCAAGGAGGATGAAGCAAAGTGGATGGATCAGCAACATTGAGCTTGGAGCGAAGAAGAAGAAACCGCTTAGGAGATAGAGCCTTTGTCAGAACATCGGCAAACTGATGTTGGGCAGGTATATGTGATACAACAAGAGACTTGTTGAGCACTTTTTCACGAACAAAGAAGATATCAAGTTCCATATGCTTGGATCTTGCATGTAAAACTGGGTTGTGTGAGAGTGCAACAGTGCTTTGATTGTCACAGAGTACAGTAGGAGTGTTTAGAGGAACAGTTAATTCCTTTAGCAGTGACTGAATCCATAAAACTTCAGTTACAGCTTGAGCTAAGGCTCTGTATTCAGCTTCAGTGCTGGATCTGGCAACAAGTAGTTGTTTCTTGGACCACCAAGACACAAGATTAGGACCAAGATAGATGCATGCTGCTGAAGTGGATCTTCTGTCATTTGGATCAGATGCCCAGTCAGCATCAGTGAAGGCAGTAAGATTGAAGGGAGCAGTGTGCTTGGCAGGCGAGAAAACAAGTCCATGATTGACAGTGCCTTTGAGATAGCGAAGAATACGTTTGACAACTTTCCAATGTTCTTCCATGGGAGAACACATGAACTGACTTACCTTGTTGACACTGAAGGCAATTTCAGGCCGCGTGATTGTGGCATACTGAAGTGCACCAACGACGGACCTGTACAGCGTAGGGTCATCAAATAGAGTACCATCTTTAGCAAGCTGTTGGCCACCAATCATAGGAGTAGAGATGCCTTTTGCATCTTCCATTTTGACCTTAGTGAGGAGATCAATGATATATTTATCTTGGGAGAGTAGTAACTGTCCGTGAGGAAGAGACTTAACTTCAATGCCTAAGAAGTAGTCCAGAGTGCCAAGGTCTTTAAGAGAAAAAATAGCATTGAGTTGAGTGACAAATTTTTGTATCAGGGAGGAGGAGTTGCCAGTAAGAATGATATCATCAACATAGACAAGCATGAACACAGTGACATTGGAGATGGAGAAAGTGAAGAGGCTAGGGTCACACTTGCTTTTGCTGAAGCCAAGCGTGAGTAGGACAGATGTGAGTTTGTCAAACCAGGCACGAGGAGCCTGTTTGAGACCATAGAGAGATTTATGTAATTTACAAACAAGACTTTTATTTGCAGAGTCAATAAAGCCTGGAGGTTGAGACATATAGATGTCCTCTTCAAGCATGCCATTGAGAAAGGCATTATTGATATCAAGTTGTCTAAGAGGCCACTGAAAGGAGACAGCAAGGGAAAGAACAATGCGAATTGTGACAGGTTTGACAACAGGAGAAAAGGTTTCAGAAAAAATCCAAACCGGGTTGTTGATGGAAGCCTTTTGCAACTAGTCGAGCTTTGTATTTATTTATGGAGCCATCAGGGTTCTCCTTTACACGAAAAACCCATTTGCAGCCAATGGGCTTTCGGCCAGGAGGAAGAGTGGTTAATGTCCAGGTGTGATTGTTATGGAGGGCGGTGATTTCAGTTTGCATGGCAGCAAGCCAATGAGGGTCAGCTAGAGCAGTTTTGACGGTCTTGGGCACAACATGAGAAAGAAGAAGTGTGGGGTTGAGTCTAGGCTGCACAATACCATTTTTGGAACGCGTGGTCATGGGATGAAGATTAAGAGGTCTGGCGGTTTCAGAAATTGAACCAGAGGCAGCAGAGATGTTGGGTGATGAATTGAAGGAGGAAAGTTGAGAATCAGCAGGCGCAGGCTGAGAGTGTAAGAAATCAGGATCTGAGTGAGTAGAGCTCTCAGGTGAGTTGAATTGAGAAGGGGAATGGATAAGAGATGGAATGTTGGACACAGAGGTGGCTGGAGTAGACGAGACAGACTTGGAGACAAAGAGATCCTGGTAGGGAAACCTGCTTTCATTAAATACTACATCTTTGCTGATGTAGATGCGACCAGATTTACTAAGACATTTGTAGCCTTTGTGAGTAGGAGAATACCCCAAGAAGAGACATTCCTCAGACCGAGGTTGAATCTTATGCTGATTATAGGGTCTAAGTAATGGAAAACAAGAGCAGCCAAAAATTTTAAGGAATTGATAATCAGGTTCTTTGTGATGAATAAGGTGGTAGGGTGACTGATGACCAATAGAGGAGGAAGGGAGCCTGTTTATGAGATAAACAGCAGTCAAAAAGGCATGATCCCAGAATTTGAGTGGCAATGAAGCATGATGAAGCATGGCTAGCCCCAGTTCAATGATGTGCCGATGGCGCCTTTCAACCATGCCATTTTGGTGATGAGTGTATGGACATGTAAGGCGATGAACGATGCCTTCTTGTTGTAAAAATGGGAGTAAGGGACGAAATTCACCCCCACCATCAGTTTGAACAGCCTTGAGTGGAGCTTGAAACTGTTTTTCAGCAAGTGCCTTGAAGTTGAGGAAATGAGAGAAAACATCTGATTTCCGGTGAAGAAGATAAATCCATACATATCTAGTGCAAGCATCAACACACGTCAAAAAATACGAGTAACCACAACTGGAATCTAATGATGCAGGTCCCCAGACATCAAGGAAAACAAGTTCAAGCGGTTTAGAATAAACAGTAGTAGAGGTTTTAGAGGGAAGTTTGTGAGCTTTTGCCACACAACATGAATCACAAAAATTGGACATTTTATTAACGTGAGGAATACGAATGTTACACAATTGTAAAGCTTTGATTAGTGCATCATGATGAGGATGCCCTAATCGTAAATGCCATTGTTTGTAAGTATTTGAAACAGCAATATTACATTGTTCAGAAACGAATACACAAGGTACAGAATTAAGAACAGTAAGTTGCTTGAGATTGTCATCAGATTTGGAATTAGTCTTTGCAAAAACTGGATGAAAATGATAGAGACCATCTTCACCAAGCTTGCCCTCAAGAAGAGTCTCGTTCAAATCCTGTGATTTGACAAAGCAGGAAGGAGGGTAGAAAACAAAATAAACATTGTTA